CTACCGGGCCCAAGACAGGACTGTCTCCCGGACCATGATCGCCTACTGGACCAACTTTGCCAGAACTGGGTAAGGCGGGTGAGGCTGGGTCAGGCCTCCTGCCACCTGGACCCACATGCCTGTCCCCTCACGTACACTTAACCTCCCTGAGCCTCAGTACCCCGTGTGTGTGAGGATAGAGCTCCTGGTTGGGCGCAGAACATGTACATGCCCAGCCCGTGCCCAGGAGACAGTGAGGTGCCCTGGAGGTTCGGGTCAGCATGGAGATCTGTGAGCGCTCAGACCCCACACGGCCTTTTCCTCATCTGCAGGGACCCCAACCAGGGCCACTCGGCTGTGCCCACCCAATGGGAGCCCTACACCCAGGAAAACGGCAACTACCTGGAGATTAACAACAAGATGGATGACCAGTCCATGAAGCAGCACCTGAGGAGCAGCTACCTGCAGTACTGGACCCAGACCTACCAGGCTCTGCCCACCGTAAATAGAGACGGGATCACCCTCCTGCCCTACTCGGACAACTCTGAGGGCTCCCCCTGAGCCCCCCACTGGTGACTCTGAGGGGGCTCAGATGCCCGCAGCCATTGGCTTCTAATGTCCCTGCCCCAGAGGCCACAGGTGGGACCCAGGGAGCCCACCTCCCTCCCCACTTCTCCCTCTGGCAACCCGCTTCTCCCTCTGGCAACCCTCTTTGCCCTCATGACCTCAGCTGCCTGCCAAGGCTCTGCCTGTGTCCATCTCAGGAAGTGGGGTGCCCCCCTCATTTCAGAGGAGAAAAGAGGGTCAGAGAAGCATCAGCGCCAGGGCTGAGCTCGGGCTGCGGGCCCTGATGGGGGAGTGAGTGGGACATGTGGGCAGTTGCCTCTGGAACACTGGGCCCAGCCTCGGCCATGCCCTCAGGGTGTGGGGAGCGGGCTCTGTATAAAGGGAATGGCCTGGGAAAGAAACGGATTCGCCTCCAGCTGGATCCCAGGCAGAGACAGTAATGCATCCTGCTGGGCTCAGAGCAGAGGGTACAGGGCTGGGCCTTGGGTGCCCACTGGAAGGGGCCTGTGCCGTTGCCCGCTGGCTCTGGCAGAGTCTGGAGGGGAGCAGGAGGCAGAGGTCAGATGCAGGGCCATGGCCACCTCAGCAAGGTCTGGGGCGGGGCACTGCCTGCACCGAGGGCTCCCCCATCCTGACCTCACATGGCCCGGGCGGTGGGCATGTGGACACCCCGTTGTAGACAGTTACTGTGAGACATGCTCACCTGTCGAACTCAAATAGGGACTCGGAGACAGAAGTGCCATGAAAGCGAGACCTTGAATGTGCTCTTGAGAACGGGTTTCCGCCCGGTTGCACAGTTACACCTGGAGTTGGAACACAGCCCATTAATTTGGCCCCTCCTCCTGTTATATAGGAAATCAGCGAGCTGAACTGATGACGCCTTAGTAAGCCAAATGTGGAGTCCTTATTACACCAGCAGTCTCAGAGGAGTAGCCTCCAGAGTCTGAGCAAAGCAATATGGAGGAAGCTTTCCCTTTATACCATCCCGGTATCTTTGTCTCCTAAATATGGGGCTTCCGGACCTTTTGCAGGCTTTATAAAGAGCCCTATGTACTGGGAGGTACTTTGCAGGAAGCTTGTAGCCTTGAGCACAGTACAATTCAGATAACTAGAAGACACCTGGCATGGGAGTAACCAGGGATGGACCAGACCCTTATGTCAGCAGAGCGGCTTGCAAGGCTAGAGAATTCAGCTTATTTTCACTATTATTTGAGCAAGCGTGTTTACGGAAGTCAAGAATAGCAGAGTTAATTCACAGAACAAAGGACCATCTATGTTTAGTGGAAAATTTCAAACAGCAGTTTTTACAACATAGAGGTTAAGGGAACAAGATGGAGTGCCTATGCTTCAATCTGGTTCCTCATTGGCTGAGTGCAATGGGCTCAGATGTTTCCTGACACGTCCATGAGTCCTCCCATTGGGCCATTTAAAAAAATTGGGCTGAGGCCTTTTCTAGTTTCCTCCCCTCCCCCTGTCTAGCTGAGGCCGGTGCCTGGAGGGTCTCCACCATGAGGCTGGCCCACACCCACAGGGCCTTGGTCTCACATCCTGGTCCCTCCCGCTCCCTTCTCTGTGCCTGGGGACGTTCAGCCACCGCTTCCTTCAGGAGCTGGCCATGCCGGCCCATGTCCTACAGCGCCAGGGCTCCAAGAGGCTCACGTGCCCCCGGCCCTCACAGCGAGGACTCAAGCCCAGGTCTGAGACGCCAAAGCTACCAGGTCAGCTCAGAGCAGGTGTGAGGGCTCAGAGGAGAGAAGGTTCCTGCTGGGGGTGTGCATGGCAGGGGCAGCTCAGGGCACCAGCCGGCTACCCTGATGCACACGGTCCAGTGTTTCCCTGGCCCGGCGGCGGGAACAGCGGGCAGTGTGGGTGGTGTTCCTCCCCGCCCTCCCTGCCCCATCCTTCCACCTCCCCCAGGAGAGGATCCAAGCGCCCACCTCCCCATGGCAGAACCACAGCACAGCCCTGGACAGCGAGGGCAGCCAGCCAGGGGCTGTGGGCTCTCAGGGCTCCAGCCCGTCTACCCTTCAGGATCAGGGAGTCTAAACTGGTGACAGCCCGAGACGAGGACCTCAGACCTCACAGCCCTGGGTTCCTTGGGCCAGCGGGGAGGGGGCAGGAATCAGCACGTTTATCCTGCAAACCCACACTCACCTGGGACTCCTCAGACCACGTGCGGGCAGGCGAGGGGGGCGGTCCAGCGCCTGGTCCTGGGTGAAATGAAGCCGGTGAAGAGCGGCAGCTCCTGGTTCCCGGGGCCCAGCTGTCGCCTTAAATGAGCTGCATCACAAATGCTTCCTGTGCCTCGCTCAGCATGGCCAGGGGTGAACCTGAAAGGGGGCCGGGGGTGGTGAAGGATTAAAGAAGGACAGACAAGCCTTAATCAGTTTGGCTCAGTGGATAGAGCATCGGCCTGCAGACTGAAGGGTTTCAGGTTCGATTGGGGTCAAGGGCATGTACCTTGGTTGCGGGCACATCCCCAGTAGGGGGTGGGCAGGAGGCAGTTGATCGATGTTTTAACTCTCTATCCCTCTCCCAGCTCTCTGTACAAAAATCAATAAAATATATTTTTAAAAAAAGAAGAAGAAGAAGACGACAGACAAGAGAATAAAGCTGGGGCTGGGTGGGACACTGCTCTCGGATGGAGAGACAGGGCCACAGCCTGCAAGCTGAGTCTTTGTTTAATAGCCAGTTTCCACGAGGCAAAGGAAGGATGTGGTCAAGATGTTTACAGTGTCTCACAGGTTTGGAGTCTACTCAATGACATGCACCTGAACTCTATCAGTGCTGCACCCCCCCCAGCCTATATCACTTTGCCACCTGGGACCACAGGTTCGAACCATAAGGACAAGTTTATAACTATAGCCTTTGGTTATGACTGTGCTGCGAGGGCTTTGCCCTCCAAGCCGGGACTTGCATGTGCCTTTGCCACGAGAGGACCTGCCCTCTCATTAGTCCGAGGTTTGAACCTGTCCAAACGCTGTAACCACTCTCCACACTTCCCCAGACACAGCGCCGCCAGAGAGGCCTTCCCAGGACGGGTTCCCCGAGGGTTCCAATCCGGTAAAGGAAGGCCCGGGCCCCGGAGAACAGAATGCGAAGTCCCTGACAGAGGCCACTGGCCAGTGCTCCCTGCCTCGCCTCCCCAGTGACAGGCTTTGATCTGTCCACACTCCCCCACTCAGTGCAGGTGGGTTCCATTCTGAACTTGAAATCTACCAATTCCTCCTGGTGGGCAGCAGAAACCACAGCCCAGCCAAACTCCTCCCTCTTCCGCCAAAGGAAGGCAGCCCCGTCCTGGCTCAGGAGCTGGTCCTTGCAACTGTTACTTTTTAAATATCAGGGAAAGCCCTAGCCGGTTTGGTTCAGCGGACAGAGCATTGGCCTGAGGACTGAAGGGTCCCGGGTTTGATTCTGGTCAAGGGCACATGCCTGGGTTGTGGGCTGGATCCCCAGTGTGGGCTTGCAGGAGGCAGCTGATCAATGATTCTCTCTCATCATTGATGTTTCTATTTCTCACTCCCTCTTGCTTCATCTCTGAAATCAATAAAAATATATTTTTTAAAAAACCATCGGGGTAAAAGATACATAACAGAAAATACTCTAGTTTAACAATTTTAAGACTTCAATTCAGTGATATTAATTGCAATCACACTAATGTGACACCATCACCACTATGTGGTTCCAAAACTTTGCATCACTCCAAACACTAACTTTGTACCCATTCTGCCTTAACTCCCTCCCCCAGTCCTGTTAATATATTCTACTTCCTGTCTCAATCTACTTGCCTATTCTAAATATTTCTGTCTCGCCAAAACGGGTTTGGCTCAGTGGATAGAGCGTCCGCCTGCAGACT